ACGTACAGACGACAACCCGTAGCCCCTCCGCAATTGGCGGCACTCCATTAACCTGCTGGTGGCGCACAGCAATATACGTGCAACCATTTACCTCTGCAGGTACGCTGATGTGTGGAACAAACCACCCATATCTGTCAGAACAACAACTAGCATAGAACAATTTCGCTCAAACATTTTCGGCCTCCGCTTCTCGAAACACAGCTACCCTAAAGATAAGCTATGTGAGCAACGACCAGACTAACTACAGTGTTTTACGCAATTCCGCAATAGGTCTACATTTTCACAACTCCTACCAATGCAACGCCTCAGCCCAAGTCTGCTTGCCTCTAAATTTTACTGCTATTGGTCTTAGCTAAGGCAACGCTGCTCATCTATAAACCCACTACCCAAGTTGACGACCCTCGTGACCTTATAACTACCTACACACCTTCTTCCGACAACCGCTCAGCCGAACCTGTTAACCCAAACCGATAACACTTAAGCTACTCCCTCACGTCTAAAATCTTTCTGTACTCAGATGAGTTTATTTGCACCAGCGACTCGGATCACAGCTATCGAAGCTCTTGGATAACCACCTTACCGGCTTCTATTTACCGTCATTCCACTTCTATTCCTTCGTTACTATCTTTAACCTTCACACTTACAGGATGCTTTCCTTTAGTTGACACACCGGCAACCCTAAAACCCTTCGCTTGCCTGGCTACCCTCAAGCCTACAGAGCGGACCCAGAGCAATGACGCTCTTGCTACAAATTGTCTGATCATCTGGCGTTCAACGCTAGTCCCTAATTATGGTCACCTCTGTCTCAACATAATAACACCCCTACTTTAAACGTTAGTACTGCACCAGTTTTACCGGCTTCATCGCTCTGCTCCCTTGCCCTCTCTTACTGTTTGACATTTAGCTGCTGTGCATGCCCAAAACTCTCTTCTCTCATCTTAAGAGCTCTGCTTTACTTGTTGCCACCATATAGGTTTAGCTACTTTAATCCCAACATCACCCGCTTTGCTGATCCTAACCACAACGCAAACGTATTCTCGCCACAGCTGTAGTATGTAGTACCGCCGCCTCTTGCTCCTATTCTTGACAGTAAATGCTTATTTGACATAGACCCAGCTTAAGATAGCCAGCTGCTCCTTCTTAAAAATTAATTTGGCTCCTACCACCACACTTTTAAGCTGTCTCACTGTAGAAGTCAGTCTAAGTGTGGAACACATAGTACCCTTTGTGCTGCTGCCCAACTCATCCCGCCGAACTTGGTAGTTTTTTAGAACTGGACCTGCAACCGTATCCACGCTATAGCCATAGTATAACAGCCATTTTATTCTCGAATCTGTGGTTAAAAATGAACGGCTATTAGTCCGTGCCACGTATTACGATAGCCAGCTGCTCCTGATTAACAGTTAATCTCGATCCCTTCACAATTCCTCTACCGTCTCTTTACATCTATGTGTCACTGAAGCAATCCACCTAGGAGTAGCAAATTTAGTGCATTTCGGCGCTGCTGCCCATATTATTCCGCAACCCTTCGTAACTTTTAGAGAGGGTTCTGTAACCGTTTTTTGACTGCTGCTCTAGTAGGTGATTCCTGCCGTTCCCGCTAGTGTTTTTAACATTGTATGTCAATTAGTCCTCTTCTAAACTAAGGGTGCGTAACGCTGCTGCCTATGAATTAATCCGCTCTTAGCATCACTCTTTTCTGCCGTCCATTTAACATGTAGGATGCACTGCAGAAATCCGCCTTCGAGTTGAACACGTAGTTTCTCTTGACTTGCTCTTTAGTTTATTCAGCTACCTCTGAGCACTTATTGAGCTGGCTCCGCCACCGTTTTCTTGCTACAGCTGTAGTTTGTAGTCCCTTCTCTCCTTGCTTTTAATTCTACAATTTCAAGACTAATAGTCCGTGCTTCATCTTGCCGTAGCGTACTGCTTCTGCTTATTAATAGATTTGGCACCCTGCTTCAATCTTCGCTGCCGTATTTTTGAATAGTATATTTCACTACAAAAGTCTACTTTGGTGTGAAACACTTAAATAAATAAATAAATAAATAATTTATTCTCGACTATGCGAGGCACGCCCATGGAGGCATGATCAGATATGTACAACTGTACAACCATTTTATGGCATCTGTGACAGTAACAGTAGAAAATTGGTCGTATGTCCATGATAATATAAATAAATAGATGGTTTATTCTCAGTTTCATAGAGACGCACCAACTTAGGCATCATCAGGGTTTAAAAACTGTTGTGTATCACGATGATACATCGGGTTCAATCGTGTGTAGTTGAAATGGTGTCAAGAAGAGTTGATATGTGAATCTAGTCGACTTGCCAGTATGTAGTTGTGGGCTGTGACTTTATTCAGTGACGAGTCACATCCGCCACGTCGCAGTGTTGTTAAACAGACATTTGTGGCTTTTTATAGGGAGAACGCTTGCCAGGCGAAAACCCACCACGTCCTGCAA